TTTTTGGGTTTTTCTCCGGTACCGGGAACCGAACTCACGACCTTGCGCTTGCCAGGCAGGCGCTTTTGCCGCTGAGCTAAATCCCCAGCCCCCAACACAGTCACTATTTTTCCAGTTTTATATATTCACTAAAAGTATGTACTTGCTTCACTCTGATATGCCAAATCAAATCAATTTGTTATAATTTTTTTTGTCTCCAGAAAGCTATTAAGGAACCAGAGAGCTTAGCAGAAAGCACAGATTAATCCAACATAAAAGAAAAAGTGATTTGCATTCAAATGAGAACCATGAAAATGTCTCTATTCCACCTTGTCCTGGTTCAGATCCTACATTTGACATTCCTCAATGGGTCATTTAAGCCTCAGTTCTCAAATCTTTAAAACAGGGACTCACAGATGATCATAGGAGATAGAGAAGAAGGTTTACCCTGGCACCCAGCCATAAGCCTGGCACCAAGTAGGCACAAGGTTCAGTGCCAGCTGCCTTCCCATCTCTGCCACCAACCACAAGTCCCTTGCATCCCAGAGGGCTCCTTACTTCACTTGCTGCTAAGGTCCCAGTACCAGACCTGGAGGATGGAGAAAATAATAACGCCCAGTGTGTCAGACACTGAGCGGGGTCTGATCGGCATCACAGAAACCCCTTGGGCAACCTGGAAATGAGTTTCCTTTGGGGAATGAAACGGTACAGAAATCTCAAGGAGAAAAACACACCAGGAGGCAAATCTTACTCCACACCTCAAGGGTCTTACAATGGTGTTTAAAGGACTTACAGGTGAGTCAGGTCACGGAGCCCACGAAAGGCATTTCTTGAAATGGTTTCTATCTTGTTTCCTTCAATGAACCTAAGGAAAAGAGTAGTACAAATCCAGTGAGTTTCCTCTACTTAATATCTCTAAGCAATGATACGGGCACCCAAACCAGGAAGAATTACAAAATCTCTGGAGATGGAGTTGGCTACACCAAGTATATGCGGGTGCAGCGTGTGCACCGGGACGCATGCATGTGAGCGTGTCCCACGCTCCTTCCAGAGGCAGCATGGAAGCCTTCAAATTCAAGGTGGCAGCGTGGGGAAAACACCTAGGGGCAGCGGTGAGAGGAACGCACTGTACAAGGCCAAAACTTCTCCCAGCTCTGCAGGCCTGGAGAGCATCCAGACACTCTCCCTACACAGCTCCTCTCACACTTCCCAGCGCCTGGCTATTCATACTTTTGTTAATGTCCTGCTCCCTCCAGGGAAGGCCATTGTTGCACACTTCTGAGGGAGGGTCCCATTAAGCTTGGCCTCCAGTGACCTTGAGCTCATTATGTCCCACACAGTCTAATCTTGAAGCAAATGGGGGACCAGGCAGGGGTTCTCTCACTACCCTTGTGCCTCCAGGAAGTGGGACATATAATAAAGTTGACAGGGGCTGACTCTTTCTCTGGGCTAAAATGGCACCGGGCTTGCACACAGGATGTTGCAACAGCAACACGGGCATGCTTTAAACTCTTCGTGAGAAAGATATGATGGGAATGCTCTGTGGCTCCTGTAGGGCCACAGAGAGCTCAGTGTTCGCAGGCAGCACGGAGGTGCATCAGATGCGAGGGGGCTTTGGGTGAGATTGTCCAAGGACACCACCATGAATGATCCATCTGGTTCTTGGTTCCTGCACAGAGAACTTTCTAGTGCCTGTTCCTAAAAGATCCGGTATCTCTTTAGTACGTAAGGCTTCAGCATGAATTGTTTCACTTCCCTCCCCACTAACCTAAGCAGGAAGATGAACTGCCCATCCGAGAAAACTCAGAGCCTTACTTCTGCTGCCTCCATCTCTCTTCGTGTGCTTTGACAGAGCCTAGCTGGGTCTGCCCTCTCCCCATCTTACGTCTACCGTCAGAGCACTGGATTCCTAGCATGCGCACCTTATGCCTACTCTGGAGGAAAGTCCTGCGGCATTGCTCCCCATGACCCAAAATCAGCAGAGAGCCTTCTTAAACCAGGATGTGTCTAGAATTCCAATAGTTACCTGTTGGCCTCAGATAAGAAAGTGGAGATGGGGCTTTAAAGATCCCACTGACTGCTGAGTAAGGAAATCCCATCTGATAGGAGGATTGACATTATTGCAAATTCACAAATACAGAGATATAAGAAGTTAAGGGGGAAAAGATATGAAAGCAAGTGAGCAAAGGCAAAAATCAGAATGAGGACAAAGCTCATCCTTAGAAAGTTGTGGATCTGAAGAAGGAGAAATCTTTTGTATTTCTTTAGGGGGGTTAAGGAGGAAGGAAAATACAATTACACTCGCAGCGGGACTTGCAGGAGAGGCTGCAAGCAGGGTTGTGGGACAGCTGGTAAAAGCGTACAGTTGTGTCCCAAAGAGGGAAACTTTGTTTAAAAATAAGTAGCCCTCAGAACCCTTCGGGCTCTATTTCTGGCTGATCAGCAAATCCATGCCTAGTTATGAGAGGTAAAAATATCCAACGCAGTTTCCAATTGTGCTTACTACACGACAAATTAAATGTCAGCAGAGAATGAATGAGTATTTTTCCTTCTTTGTCTCCAGCCTCCTCCTGCTCCCGCGTGTTTACCAGTGAGTGCACCATCAAAGGTGAGGGTTGAAGAGAGAAAGGGGCTTTCGGGCTGGGGATTTAGCTCAGCGGCAAAAAGCGCCTGCCTGGCAAGCGCAAGGTCATGAGTTCGGTTCCCGGTACTGGAGAAAAAACAAAACAAAACAAAAAAAAAAAGAGAAAGGGGCTTTCTCCACCCCTGAGAGCCCCAGAGATGCTGTCCCGGGCAGGTTGGCATCCAGCAACTCCACTGAGATGCCCAGGGCTCAGCACACAGACAAATCTTAACACTTACAGGTATTCAAGATGAAAAAGGCCAGCAAACGCATCATCCCGGATCACCGTGAATGAGTTAGAATTCAGCAATCTGAAAAGAAGACAGGGTTCAATGTACAGGTGTAGAGCCTGAGCTACACGGAGGTTTCTTTTGCAATGTCCTGATCTGTGGTCAAACAGAGAGTGAGCCCAAGAGCAACCCTCTAGGCCCCAACCTGATTCTCACAGGCTGCAGATAGGGACAGTGATAAGTAGACTCCTTTTAAAGGATTTTTTTCTGGTCATCTCTGACACTCCATCCCCTTATCCCCTGGGGTCTCAGTCAGTATGAGCTGATAACTCTTGTTTGAAAACATTCTGTTGCCAAGCACAACAAAACAGCCAGTGCGGGCTTTCTGATGCACACCCAATCATGGAATTAGAGACTGAAAAGAATCTGATCTAATATGATTTTTAGAGAATTTGAGCCCAGAGAAGTTAAACTGATTTGACCAAAGTCACACAGAACAGAAAAATTATTTCCTACCACATATACATTTCCATGAGAAATAATTTTTAAAGGTTTAAGAAATTTTCAAAAGATTCTATCACTACCAATTTTCTTTTTTTCTTTTCTTTTCTTTCTTTCTTTTTTTTTTTTCTTTTTGTCTTTTTGAGACAGGGTCTCACTATGCAGTTCAGGCTGGCCTTGAGCTCACTTGCAGCCCAGGCTGGCCTGAAACTCTTAACAATCCTCCTGCCTCAGCCTCCCAAGTGCTGGGATTACAGGTATGTGCCACCACACCTGGCAATTTTCTGTTTAAATCACTACTTAAATCCTTTCAGTAGAAGTCTATGCTATCTATATAGTAACCACTTTATTTGACAAAAGAATATCTAAAATTGTGTTTCTAGTCCTACCATTATATAGAAAATTTATTGGCACATCATTGCAATTCTAAGAGGTTTCAGATTTTTAAATGGTCAGTATAATGTTAAAAGTAAGCATATAGGGGTTGGGGATTTAGCTCAGTGGCAAAGCGCCTGCCTGGCAAGCTCAAGGTCATGAGTTCGGTTCCTGGTACTGGAGAAAGACCAAAAAAAACCCAAAAAACCAAAAAGTAAGCATATAATACTTCAAGAACAACAGCATCAACTTTAAGTTTATTTAGCTGAGTGGTGGTCTTTGTTTTTCTCTATATTTTTCTGTTACAGTTAAATTACAGTCTGAACTCCAAATTAAGAAAACAATAGGTAGCTGGGCGAGGTAGCACACGCCTGTAATCCCAGCACTCAGGAGGCTGAGACAGGAGGATTGCTAGGAGTTCGAGACCAGTCTGGGCTACAAAATGAGCTCAAGGCCAATTTGAACTGCATAGAGAGACCCTGTCTCAATTAAAAAAAAAGAAAAAAAAAACAAGAGGTAGAGAATGCACTCTGTACTTACGACTTCGCTGGTCAAGGATTTGTTTCTGCAAAGTGCTTTTTGGACTTTTCTGCCTAGTATCAAACATTAACGGACTTGGGTTACAGGGTACTTGGGTACCCACCATGGTGACCCGGGCACGGCTCACTTAGAAGAGCTGTGTGAGTTTCCAACCAGGGTGAGAATCCTGGCACTGTGATTTGAGGCAAGGTAATTAACTCCTCTGAGCCTCAGTTTCCTCATCTGTCAAATAGGAAAATACAAATATCCTCTTCAAAGGGAAAATACACTGATGAGATAAAATTATGCATGTAAGTGCGCAATGCGTTGCCTGACTCTAAGTACTCCGTAAACCAGAAATGCTCTTATTTTCAGAGTAATGTTAAGATTTTAAAATGTGAGTTTCTTTTAAAGTGAGAGGTTTGGGGAGCAGTTCACTGACATGAAGCTCTGGCCACGATCCATGCAAATATCACCCCAGTTACTGCATCTGGGAGTTGGGAATCTACAGTGAAGCCCTCAGGGAAAGCATGTACCCAGGTCAGGCAAGGAACTGGAGTGAGGGGTCTTAGTCCTTTGCTGAGGACACCCGAGGGTCCCTATTTGCTCAGGGAGCTGTGTGTTTTAGGAAGGCTGATACCAAGGAGATAGAGACCGCCCCACAAGGACTCCCACCTCTCAGAGAAAATGCCCATACTCACAGCAGCTGCAGAGAAGGCAGATGGGAAAACATTCGGTCCTTGATTTCCGAAAACGTTCCATTGACAAGGCTCCTACAGGCAAGAGAGCGACGGATCAAGGCCTAGGCCTCTTTCAGGAAGTACGAGGCCGGTAGGTGACGGCTTCCCTCATCCTGCACTCCCAGCTCTTCCTCCCTTGCTGGTGGTGGTGGGGTAGGGATACACACAGCTGGCCCCATCTTCCCAGGGGGAGGAATGACAAGGAGCGAGCCAAGCTCCATGCACCTGATCTACAGGAAAACTGGTCTGGACAACAGAGGGACCTGTACCGTTGTCTGGCTCCTTCCAGACATGAGCTCAGGCAGCTTACATCAATCCCCTCCCTCCTTCGCTTAACTACAGGAGGCCCCCGGCTGAAAAGGGATAAGTACTTCACCTCTGCCCAAGATTCTGTTTGTGCAGACACAGAGTTAATGTTGGCGGACGAAACTCTGGGGTTGGATTAAGCATTCCCCTTGGGAGCACATCTCTGAAAGACACTCTGAGCACTTCTGATTAAATGCACCGTGAAAGCCTTGGGGGAAAACTCAGAGACACTTCTACTTGGCTGTGCGGTGGGAAGCAGTGCCATCTGCCAGATAAAAGCGGTCAGCCTGGGGGCCAGAGGCTTGGCTGTGTTTCTGCCCCGGGGCTCCCTACCCTTTCTGGCCACAGCAGGGCCTGGATACATTATTTCCGTTAACGTGCAGATTGATTAAGCAGCTTCTGCTCTAAAGGGTGTAACAAGGGGAATCCTAATTTCTGGAAACCCTCATGCCACCTGAGTCTCCAACAGTAAGAGGCAAACAGGCCCCTCTGTCCCCCTCCACCCACCCCACCAGCCAGACTCTCCTTTCTATAAATGCAAACAGGACCCTCTCCCCTGGGTCCCAGGCCCCTGGCTTGCCCAGGATGGGAGACAGGGACTGCCCTGTGTGAGAAAGTACAAGCAGCGGGACTCCCTCCGCCACAACACAGTGGGCATCCCAGTGCCTCTGCCAGGAACAAGGGAGCCCACCTGGCAGGACTCATGTCCAGGCAGTAAAGGGGTGGCCCAACAGCCCCTTCCACGGCCACTTTGCCACTAGCCATGTGGCCTGAGTGGCCGGGTGAGGCCAAGCTGAAAGCACCCCTCAGCAGGTGGAGAGCAAGGTGAAGCCCTCTCTGATCAGTTAAGTTACTCCAGTGCCAAAAAAGCAACCAACATCATGCCAGGTGGGGAAAGGAGACAAGAAGCCCTCTTGAACTCAGGGCAAGAGGTCAGGCTGACTTCCTGCACCTGGCACGCAGCGGGGCTCCCTACATGCCTCAAATCTCTGCCAAGCCCACTGTGCCTGCCTCTTCCAGGCCACGTGGGACGACCCTCCACTTCCAGAGGCTGCATGCCTCCCAGGCTTTCCCAGCCTGCAGTGTGGAGAGGTCGGGAGGTGGCCACGGTGCCAGCCTCACCCCACAGACAGGAGGGCAGTAAGGCCTCACCATCTGCGGTTGCAATCAAGCGGGTCGTGTCCAGCGGCTCCCACCGTGCCCCTGCACAGTCACCCACCCCACAGACACAGTGCCTCTCAAACTTCAACGCACGCCGGAGTCACCCAGCGACGCCAGGGGCGGGCCCTCAGGGTCCAGAGCCCCTACCTCACCCTGGGCCCCGATTCTGCACTGGCACCAATGCCCAGGGTGGGTCTGACGTAGGTGGCCCGTGGGCCACACTTTGAGAAACACTGTCACAGGGACCTGGGTCCCTCTGTCCTCCCCAGGGGCCAGGCTTCACCCACGTCCCGTAGCGCGCCCCCACCCCAACGCAAAGCGAGGGACCCGGGACGTGGTCAGGGGTGCTGCCCCAGTGCTACAGGCAACTCCCAGGCAGCGGGCGGGCGCGGGGTGGGGCGGGGCGGGGCGGGGGCTGGAGGGGTCCCACTCACAGGGAGCTGATGTCGCCCGGCACGATCCTGGGCACCCAGGAGGAGCCCACGCAGATGATGGACTCCTTGGTACAGCTGCAAGTGGCGGGGCAGCGCGCCAGCCGCCTCACCTGCGCGCTCCGCGGGACCAGGCAAGCGGCGCCCAGCAGGAGCAGCAGCCCCAGCGCCCCACCGCCGCCTCTCCGCAGCGCCATGCCGGGTCCCCGGTCCCC